GCTATATATATAGATATATATTCAATTTTTAATTTTTTTACTTTTTTAAAATTTTCTTTTGATATTTAAAATATGCACACAAATAGGAACTTATATATATATATATAAACTACACTACAAAATTCCTAAAATAAGTCTTACAATTCAAATAAAGTCTTCTAAGTTAAAAAGAAAATTTTCTTTTACCTCCCTGACAATGACGCCAAAAACTTGATGCGGTCTAGTTATTGTAGTAGCCATTGAAAAAATATAATTTAGGATAGTTAATTTTTCTTTAAATATTTATAGCTGCCATTCTTAGTGATTTAAGGTATTTTTTATTGATTTCAAATATTCACTTGGACGCTAACGCAAGTATATGTTTCACTCAAGTAATATAGGGCTCTAATGTAGTCCTAAGTATTAATCCCATAAGGATGTTTGAAAATTCTTATAATATTTACTCAAAGAAACTCTAATTAAATTGCAAAAAAATTAACTAGACATGCAGTTTGAAATTTAATTTTTTTTAAATTAACTGAATTATATCTACTACTCTTATCTCTAAACACAAAGTAAATTCTAAGTTCACTAAAACTAAGTTATGAAGAGTTCAAATTTTAGATAGTATCATTCCCTTTGAAATAAGATTATAAACAATGAATAATTCAAATTTTCATAAATTAGATTGTGTTAAATAGGAGCATACTTATTCTTTAACCTCTCACAAATGCATAAAAAATATTGGCTAATCCAGAGTCAAGTTCCTAAATCCTTAGTTTAGTTTAGAAGATACTAGCAATCACTATAGAGTTCATACTATCCCTCCGCCTGAAGGCTAACATCTAGCCTTATGTTCTGAACCTTTCGATCAAATTTTAGGTTCTAGCCTGTCAATCTAGAATAATCAATTTACGCCCATCAAAACATATTTCCTTATTTATTTTCTCTTAATAACATGAACTACAATCTCATCCATGAGATCAAGTGTGATTCTTACTTGGTTGAGGAAAGCATAGCCCTTTTGGATTATTATGTTTCATAAGTTTTAACCTAACAATTGGCTAGATTGATTAAGTAGATAAAGTTCAAAGTTTGAATCATCACAATTATAAAATCCAAGCACTTCTAAATAATTTCAATTCTTCAAATGTTTATTTCTCTTTACAGGGACAAAGACCAAACAAACTACTCATATCTCATGATAAAGATACAAAAAAACATGGATTTATAATAAGTAAAGTACAAAATACTTATCTCAAGCTCCTCCCGAAGCAAATCATTTGATGTTCCTTTTAGTCACTTTCTCTCCTTACAATATCACTCAATCTTCTCCAAATTCCTTCTTTTTTGCTACTTTTAGCTCCAATCCTCAACTTTTGTACATGCAATAAAAACATAGAAATACCTTTCTTTAAAGCACAATATCAATTAAAATAAGCATTAAATGTGTACATAAAAGTAACATATTATTAGACTTGTAACTACCCTGGCCTAAGGTCTAAGTAGTGAACAATTCAGATATTTTTTGGGTTTATGACCACCCAACATCCTGACAGAACTCTTGGAGTTAGCCAACCATCACATCATGGTAGAAGAGTATGTTCATCCACCTTGCAAAAAAGCTGATTAATTTAACCATCATTCGTAGATAAGGCCTCATGTGTTGATGGTTGGAGGCCTAAGGATGGCCCACGACTAAATGTGAAGACCGCCGGTCTTCTTATGATGATAGAGATGTCAAAAAAAAATTACGGATGATGACCATACAAATCAAATGACTGATTGTGAGTTGACCTAAAACTAACTCAGTTGGGGGATTCAATGACAGAGTTGGTAGAGGCCATGCAATATAACAAGTACTTTAAAAAGGTCTAATGATGAAAACTAGGGCTTTTGTTCGGAGCAGAAATGAGATCTGTAAATACTATAAGGACCATGGTCATGAGAAGGAGGAATGAAGACACCACCAAATCATGATCTAAGAGTTGATTTAGACTGAAACTCAAAAATTTCATGTCTCTAAGGGTACTAACCTAAATGCAGGGGAAAGTCCCAACAAAAGAGGACTCAAATGAGATAATATAAGGAAAGGCTATCCACATCATGAGGATAGTACTAGCCATCTAAAGAAGAGATTCAATTCGATGAGCCAATTATAAGAAGCTCTAGATGGTGGAACTTTGTATCAAAACTTTTCTTTGAAGCAAGGGCTTCATCCCCCAATTATTTTACTGAGACAGTTATTCCTTTAAAGGGGAATCCATACAATGACGTTGTTGTGGTCATGGTGGTGATTACAACTACTAGATGGAATGTAGTTTGGTAAACACCGACAGTTTAGGAAACGTCTTGTTCAAGCTAACTGATACACCAAAATAATATACTATTTTAAGTACTTATTTTATGCTTATTTTTGGTGATATTTGAATTTAAAGAAGGGTATTTTTATATTTTTGTTGCAGGTGTATCATTTTTAGGGATTTGGAGAAAAAATTGCAGAAAAGACAAAATTTGGAGCAAAAAGAGCTAATTTTGGATTCTGACGCATGCACCAACGTATCATGCTCCAGATCAGTGCATGATGCGCCAAAATCCAGAGAATTGGTGCATGAAGCACCAATGCGGTGCATGATGTGCCATGGATGAATTTTTCAAATTAAGGTGGTTCTACACACCTCTTGGCATAACTCAATGAATATAGACACTTTAGAAGGTTCTTTTATGAAGGGATATGACTCTTCGATCAAATGAAACATCTTTTAAATTCAAAACATCTTTTAAATTCAAAAAATGAAACATCTTTTAAATTCAAAAGAGTTGAATTTTGGAGGGAATATTGAATTTTTTTCCAAAAGAGGCAGCCCAAAATAAAAGAAGAAGTTTTTCTAAAAGAGGCAGCCCAAAAAAAAAGAAGAAGACTTCCCATTTGTGTGTGTGTGACGTTAGGGATAGAGAGAAGTTAGGGATAGAGAGAAAGTGGCATGAGTTAGAGAGAGAAGAGGAGATTTTCTTCTAGGGTTGTGAGAGGAGAGAGAAGGTAAGAGATTTCTTCTTCATTACATTTCTAAGAGACAATTGGGAGTGATTGTAAAGAGAGAAAGTCTTGGAGAGAACTTCTAGGGATTTGCTTGGGAAGGATTGTGAGATAAGTTGTATTTTTATTTCTTTTGTTTTATAAACTTATTTTTACATATGAATTCTGTGTTTTATCACATCCTTCTCATAAATTCTAATTAGTCTTCTTTATCCTTCTCCCTACTTTAAAGATATGGTTTTGTGAAGAATAGATTTTATGGGAGAGTATGTCATCCATGGAATTTGGTTCAAATGATTAGGGAAATATACTTTGTTGGATGCAGAATTGGAGATTTTAAGGTGACAGATTAAAATCCTTAATTTTGTTCAGTTGATTGAAAACTAATGCGAGATTGTTAGCCCTCAGAGGAGGGAATAGTGGGAGCTCTGGAGTGGCGGTCGGAATCCTCCCAACCTAACCACAGAATGAGGGACCAAACTCTAGATCAGTTAAGGTTCTTTATAGCACTAGAAAGAGGGTAAAAAATAGGATTGCTTCTATTTAGCACAAAGTAATTTTTGAAAATATTTTCAAATGATTTCAATTTCTTCACAATATACTCATTGTAAAAGGGAAGGATTCTTTCTTAAATTTGAACTTCTCATCAAAATAAAAACTTTATGTAATTTTTGCAATTTTACTTTTGAATGTTTAGCACTTAGTTTAGTTTAATTTTTGTAGTCTTACATCTTCATTTTAATTAGCATTCACCTGAGTAGTTAATTTTCAAATTCACACTTTATTTTTTTTTTATTATAAAATAGTTTTCATAATTACTTTACGGATTTTCAAACTTCCATGCAGGATCAATATCTAGGATTCCATTAGAGCCCTTCTTTACTTGAACTATATGTGTACTTGGGTTGATATTAAAAGAGATTTGGCAATTTAAAAAGAGTTTTAAGAGATAAATTATTTTACAAAAAGTATTTTAGTTGGGATTTTATTGAATATTTATTATAAAATTGGCTACATCAAGTTTTTGGCGTCGTTGAGTTGTGTCAACTTCTTAAATATTTGCATATACAAAATCTCGTGTCAAATTTTTAGCATTGTTGCCGGGAAAATAACAGAAAATATTATTATTTTATTTTATTTTATTTAAAAAATATAAAAAAAAGAGTATTTGTAGTTTAGTTTGAACATTTTCTTGTTTAAGTGTGTTGCTTATTTTGTTTGTAGTTGAATTTGAACATTGTCTTATTTTAGTGTGTTTGCTTGTTTTTAATTACTTTCTTTCTTTATTT